ACATACAGACCTGCACACACACACTGAGATGTAGCTACAGACAGACTTGCCCAGATACTTGCTAATGGACACAGGGCAGATGCCACCCTTGCACCTGTACGGGAGGCACAGGGCTTGGGCAGACATGTGAAACAAGCATGTAGACCAAGCATAGTTAATGGAGGTGAATACTGACTGGTTCTTGAGGTAGGGGCCAGAAAAGTCTTAGCTATGACAATGATTCGTGACTTTCTCCAGGGCCACAGTCAATAAACACTTGTAAAGCATATCTATAGTAGTAAATATTATAGGGGGAGCAGGATTGGGAAAAACAGGTCTAAAACGTTTGCTTAGTGGGGTGCAATGAAAAAACAGTGATGTAGATTAAGACCCACCCAGGGGAGGTGCATGTGTGCAGGTGCGCCGCGTGTGCGTGTGCGCACACACACACACACACACCCCCCCAGGTGCTAGACCTTGTTCACTCACAGCCAGATGCCCCCACCCCCTCCCGGAGGGCAGGATGCAGGTGTCTGGTCTCCTGGACATCATCCCACTCCTCACCTGGACCCAGGCCACTTCCACACCCCCTGACCCACACGTGGGAGCCCCAGGGCAGCCGATCCTGCAGAACTCTGTCACAAGGGTGCTGAGCAGGACCCTCGGTTCCCTCTCTCTGTGGTTTCTTCCCAAAGCCGTGTCACTGACCTACCATGGTCCCAGCCCATTCCCAAAGTCCTAAGGACACCTTCCCTCATCCTAAATTAGTGGCAGTCACAGTGACCATCCTTGCCTTGCAGGTGCCTCAGGTGCTCCTGCTCCGCCCTCTCAGCCCCGGCTTCCTGCTTCCACCCTGTCCATGGCCCCTCTTGGCTTTCGTACTCACCAGGATGCTGCTTCTACCCTCTGCTCCTCGGCCCAGCTCACAGTCCCCTGGCCTCCCAGGGTCTAGGCCCCCACTTGCTGGCCACTCCCCTCCCCCCCCCACCGGGTGCCAGGGGCCGCCTGCCTCCAGGGCCCAGCTCCTCCCTGTCCCTGGGGGAGGGGGGTACAAAAGGGCCCTTGTCACCAGTGCTCAACTGGGCAGCCTGATGCCTGGGTTCTACTATCTCCTTCCTGGAGGGGATGGGGTTGGCTGCCTTACTTGATCCCCCCCATCACTACGCACCCTGGTTCTGAGTCCCTGGGAGGACGTTCTAATATCTCTGAACATCTCAGACTGAGAAACAGAAGGCGCTGTCCTCAATTTCCAGGGAATCTTGGTGGCAAAGATAGGTATAATTAATGCTGGTTCCCGGAGGATACAGAGGCTGGTGCGGGTGGGAGGAGACAGGACCTTGCCACTCACGGCTTCGGTCACCTCCGCCCTCTCTTAGAAACACTTCCCTGGATTATGTTTGGTGCCTACATCCCGGTCTATTTTCTTCTAGGCTCTTCTTGCCATCGGAAATGACCTTAGGTATTGACTGTCTCCTCCCTTGAGAACATGACCTCCATAAGGACAAGGGCTTTGCCTGCTTAGTCCCAATCTATCCTGCTTGTAGAACAACTCCTGGCAGAGTTAAACTTCACAAACGAGAGTGAATGTATGAATGTGTCCATCCAATATCCTGTGGCACCTTCTGACTGAAGGCTTTGCACTGGCTCCTTCCTCCCGGAAAGTTCCCCTACCTCATCCCATACCCCACTCCGCCCTAGCCACAGCCTGCTCATCCTTTCCACTGAGTGGATGCCACTTTCTCTGGAAGCCTGCCTGCCTTCTCACCAAGCCAAGCCCCTCCACTTAAATGCTGCACTTTGTGCACAGCCCTCGGCACATCTGCCAACCTGCATTATCGATGAGCTCCTTAACCTCCAGGCCAGAGCTCCCAGAGGGCAGCATTTTCATGTCTGTCTGTCTGTCTTGTTCACCTTGTGTTCCCTGGAACAGAGCCTGGTGCACAGAGGGTGCTCAGCGAGGGCTCTGCTGACCCTGAGCTGGCTGAGGACCCTTTGTGGGCAGATTCCAGAGTGATCCTCCTGCCACCCCAGCCCCTCCCATTGGTCATGATCTCTACAAGGTGGTGGCAGGCACCCGGCAGTAGTGTGATTAAGGGTAGTAGTAGTTTGACTATGAGCTATTCAGTCACACTGGGGCATCTTCTGTCCTCCTGTAGGACACAGCAGTGGAGAGAGAAGGGGGTGGGGAGGATCCTTTCTCCCAAGGGAGAACCTGGGGTGTGTGTGTGTGTAGGGGGGTGAGGGGCGGGGAAATCCCTCAGACCAGGGAGTGAGGAGTCAGAGAAGGCTGGATGGAGGGGGAAGGGGTGTCCCATCCCCACCTCAGGCTTCATGATGTCAGACTCTGCCCGTGCCTTTCCCAGTCAGAAACAAAAGCCCATTGAGAGTGGGGTGGGGCTTGAACGCCTGGGTCCTGGAGAAGAGAGGGGCCTGGTGCCTGGACTTTGGGGGTGGACACCAAGATCCTGGGGTACTCATATGTCACTACCTTCAGCATCAGCACCAACCCTCTTGGGGTCATGTGTATAGTTTGGGGGGGTCCATCTCCTCTGAGTTTGAACTGAAGGCTGTCTCTGGGGGAAGGGTGAACAGGCAAGTACATCCCACAGAGAACACTGGCAACTATCGCTGAAATCTGAAAACTTGGGTCTCCAGACCGCATGAGAGGCTGAGGGACTGGAGAGCATGTGTCTGCCTAAAGGGGAGAGGTGCCACTCAGGTAATCCAGCTACCAGCACTGCCAGATTACCTGATCCTTCCAGATAAGGCAGGGGTGTTAGTTTGCTGGCGCTACTGTGACAAAGTACCACAAACTGAATGGCTTAAAAAAGTTTATTGTCTCATAGTGCTGGAGGCTAGAAGCCTGAAGTCAAAATGTTGGCATTTGGTTCCTTCTGAGGGCTGTGAAGAAAGGATCTAGGCCGGGCCTCTCCCCTGGGCTTGTAGATGGCAACCTTCATGTTCATAGCATTCTCCCTGTGTGCATGTCTCTGTGTCCAAATTTCCCCTTTTCATAAGGACACCAGTGCCATTGGACTAGGACCCAACCTAATGACCTCATTTTATTTGGATTCTCTAAGGCCCCTGTCTCCAAATAAGGCCACAATCTGAGGTACTGGGAGTTAAGACTTCAACATATAAATTGGGGGTAGGGAGGCATTCTTTAACTCGTAACATCAAGACTTCAGATTTGTATGTGAAATATATTGCTTTTTAGTTATTAGCCAAATTTTATCTAAAATATTGTACAGACAAGCAAAACTCACCTCAGAGAAGAATCAAGCCCTCAGGCCCACTTGCTTAATGCTTTCTTGAGTGGGAGCTGGTGCTTGATCCAACCAAGTGGCACTTGATGCCCTCAGCCAAAACTGACAGCTTCATGCCAGGATCCTCAAAGTGTGCCCCACCCCACCCCCATCAGTACCACCTGGGAGCTTGTTAGGAATGCAAGTTCTAGCCCCACCCCCACCTCCCCACCTGCCGAGTCAGGAACTCTGGCAATCTGATCTGCAATCCCTTGGGGAGATTCTGGGGAGATTGTGGTGCACGCTGAAGCTTGAGTATCTCTGCCTCTCATCTCCAGGATGAACCACCTGGAGAACTTGCTAAGATGAGCAAAGAGTACTTAGTGTCATTAAATGTAATTAGCAAGTTCAAGTTTCTTACCTCCTGAAGACTTATTGAAGGAATCCGAGATAACTAATCCTTTATACTGATGAGGCACCGACAGTTTCCAAAACCATTTCACACTCTTCCCTTCCTGAAGAGGTCAACAGCCCAATCAGCTGAGAACTGTAGGGATACTTCTGTCCTTTTACAGAAGAGGAGGCGGGGTCTGGGTGGGTGGAAGATGCCTGCAAGATTGCACAGCTAATAGGCTAGGCTAACTTGCCTTCCGCTCCCTGCCCCTGTCTCTGTTCAGGAAAATCGCTCCCAGAGGATGAGCCTCTTGTGGCTTTGAAGGCAGGAGGCAGGAAGTTGATGGATAACTGGACTGATCTGGCTCCCAGTTGGGTTTAGTTTGGCTCAAAGAGTTGATTCTAAAATAATCAAATTCTTTTAAACAATTGCCAGTATTTTAAACATCAGAAAATTTCACACAAGAGTAAGGATTGCTACCTTCTTTTGAAAAGCTCTAACCATGTTGGCCTGGCTTTGAGCATGGCAACCATCCCTGGGAGCCCTCTTTAGATGGGATCCGGGCCTCCCCACTTCCTGTCCATACACAACACTGATGCCAAATGGCCAAGGCCCTTTGTCATCATACTCTTGTGGGCTAAGAAGACAATGAAATGCATCTTTTTATCATAAGTGGGGAGATCAGATACGTCGAGAAGGTTACCGTTTTTAAGAATGGCAGGGACCTTAATTCCTTGTGGAGGTGAACAGTATTCTCCTATGTGTCTCACGTGCAGAGTGAGAGAGTGAAGCCTAAGATGCTCCTACGAAACAAGTCCATCACACCACTCCTTTACCGCATCTGCCTGGAATGCCAGGAGTTCTCAAGCTTGTTGGTCTCAGGACCCCTTTCTACAAAACTATTGAGGATTCAAAATTGTTTTTATTTAAGTGTGATACATGTATAGTTGTTTAATGTATGAGAAATTAGCCATCAGAGTGATGATGTCATTACATATCACAGAGCTTCTGGAAAACTCCATTGTATACTCATGTGAGAATGAGAGTAAAAGAGACAAGTAACATGTTAGCTGTTTCCACCTATGGAGCCCTACATGGAGCCCCAGACCCAACTTTGAGAACTTTTGCTGGGTATCTGAGTTTGTCACCCATTTCAAGAAGACTTCAAGAAGAAACTTTGTTTAGTTTTCATTCTCTGCTTTTACAACATACATTCTAGGTCTTATAAAGTGGGGCTTAGAGAATAGAAAATGAAATTCCTTTACCAAGCTTCCTTGCAACCCCCCCATACACAACCCACTGAGTACCAGTCCTAACAAGGCGGTGGCCAGAAGCCTGTGGCATAGGCCTTTGGCTGGGAGAAAGGGCAACGGTCACTCTGGTTTGGAAAATAAAAGCTAGAAACAGCCATTTTATTCCGAGACCATTCGCTGAGTGTTGGAGGGCTACAGGAATAAATAAGGGAAGGATGGGAAGGGCAGAGAGGCTCTATGTTTTGCAACAGATCCCACACTTTGATTTATAACAGCAGCCGCAACAGAAGATGCAGATGGGGAAGTGGGTGTCTCGCCTCGGCCTCTGGAGCCCTGGCTGTGGAAGGAAGAAAGACTGAGCAGGTGTGGGCCCAGGGCAGGTTGTGGGAGGCTTGTAAGGGAGGCCCAGGTGTTCTCACCATCAAGCCAGCCGTGGCTCCAGCTGCGTCCTGAGTCTGTAGGTCTGCGAGCTGTCTTGTCTGTGAAAGCAGAAGGGATAATGAGGATGACAGGGGCCCCAGCAGAGCTCTCAGATTTACCTCTACCAGCTCACTCCTCCCCAAGTAGTTGGT